TATCCAGAAAACCCAGAACCTGCGTTTGTAAGAAGCAGGACTAACTGACCGGTCTCTGTCCTTTTCCAGGTCCAACAAGAACCAGTCCTGCAGGCCAGAAGTGAACCAGGACCTGTGTGATCTGGCTCTGCCGCCCCTCAGCTCGGGGTCAAAGGTAAGATCCACTAAACAGAGTCCAGGTGTGTGTGGACTGGTTTACCTGCCAGGAAGTGATGAAACGAAAGGCCGACTGAAGCCCCCCCAGCAGTCTGTTCACAGAGGGGGGGCCGTGACAAAACCGGACTGAAGCGTATTCTGATCCTGGCTCTGAGGGTTTATAGAGGACCGGCTGATCAGGGTCTACCTGTTGCTTCACTCTGCTCTCTGATTGGCTCTGACAGGACGACCGGCTGGAGATGAAGCTGTGATGTCGCCGCTGAGGTCAGGGCTCCAACGCGGCGGTGAGTGAACATCTGGGACGGTCTCCAGTGCTAGACTCGTCTAATGCAAGGTTCATAAAATAAAGACTTTAGAGTTTAGACCACAACGACGAGACACCTGACCCCCGGGCTAACTTTGGTCTAGGATTGTGTTGCCATGGTAACCACCGGACACGTCCGCGGGGTCTTAAAGTCTTAAGAGGAAATTTTGTGAAAATTAAGGCCATTAAAAAGTCTTACACTCGTTTTTAACAAGGCATTAAATTTTGTAGATCTCTCTGTCAATGTGAACGTCCTGTTTGTCCGACGCGTTGGTGAACGTGTTTATGTTGCATAGCCAAAATTACTAGACAGCAGGACGTAGCGCGTTATTTTGTCTAACGTTGGGCGCAGGGATCTGCCGCGTGAGCCTTTCACACTGATACAGGTCTGTGCGACGCGGAAAACTGACTTACAACCGACCGTAACCTTCCACCACGCCGGGCCCCCAGTGCTAATCGTTGTAAACATGGTCGGACTGAACAGCCCTGTTACTCAAACAAGAGGCGCCGCCAGCGGGTGAAGCGGTGAGACTGAAGACAACGGGGGGGAAAATATAAGCCGCGGCGTCTGGCTAACGTTAGCTGGCTGTTTAGCTACATCTGTGCCTCTTAATGAAATACGTTCAACTTCTTCTCATCAGCGTCACTTTTTGTGAACAGATCATCTCAGCCTGGATGGAGCAGGACATGACGTGCTACAGTAAACAGTTATGATTAGTGAGGAGCTGGTAGGCTACTTAAAATAAAGGGACCAACCACCACGTAGAACATTTTCTTGCACAAAGTTAATGAATAAAAAAGACTCCAAACAAACAGCTGGAATTAATATTATCAGAGTGAGCTAAATACTGAACTACTATAATGAATATAGTAACGAGATGATATCAAACTAACAGTTTAATATTAACAATATACTTAATATGATGATCATTTATCTTAGCTCCTCCTCCTCCTCGTTGTGTGTCGGGGCCCCTGTAGCAGTCAGGTGGAGCCGGGATGCCTTTGTGCCAATCTGTTCAGTAAAATGGATGTAAAACAGAAGTTATTGTGATAATAATGTACACGGATCAGCTTTCCGAAGCAGACGGCAGCCGTTGATCGCAAACGTCTGTGCTGCGCTGCCGACGTTTATTCTCCAGCTCTGTTCCCTTCTGGCCCGGTTGAATATGATGTTTACACAGTGGTCGATCAAAGTGTTTAGTTTTACAGCCTCCATCTATCTAAAGATAAACGTAAGTTAAAGGTGCGTTGTGTGGTTTTTTTAGTGGCTTCTGGCAGTAAGGTTTCACCCTCTACATACCTGAGAATATGTCAGCTGGCAAACTAACATTATCTGGAACACGGCGGGTTGATTATTTGTAAGCTCTTGATTAGTGGATATGGGATTAAATAAGTTTGGTCCCCCCCCCCCCAACTCATTTTCAAATATGTAATGGACACTGACAGTTTAAAGTCCTTAGCTGTAACTATTTAATCTGATCACTTTGTTTTGTTTACTTGATTTCTTTTTGCATATATTTGAAATGATCAACTAAAACACAACTCTGACTGTTTAACATGAGTTGCAGTAATGTTGCGCGTCTAAACGTCGTCGCAAATGTCAGGCGATGGATTTTGGCAGGAAGTCCGAGCAGCCCGTCACACAAACAGCAGGTCTCGACAGGCTGTTGTAGGTAACGGAGAAAGCTGGTCAGTGCCTCAATTTTCAGGTGAGGTTACAACCGGGAACACAAAGGCGCTAAAACGGTTATAAATGGATTTAAATTCCCCCCTTAAAGCTGAATCTGACTGAAGCAGTTAAAGCTCAAAGTGGCGCAGCAGCGTTAAATTATGTTGGAAGGTCGTGAAGTGTCCCTCAGGATTCCTGAGAAAAGGGAAGTGGCTCCTGTTAAGTTTTTAGGGGCCACAGTGACCTGCTGTGAATGTCCCCCAGTGAGGACGGTTCATCGTTGACCCAGGGAGCAGCTGAAGTACTGCCGCCTCCCGTTTCAGGAGATTTCCTCTTAAACATTTCTTCGTGGCGTCTTGTACCGTGTTGTTGGCTCTTTCCTGACGCTCCGCACCTTAAGGTTAACGGTCATTATTTAACAAATGAAGCATTTCTACCGCTCCACTAAATGTTCCAAGTCAAATGTCCTTAACTATTACACTGCTTCCCCCCCGAGGGGAACCTGCACCGAGCGGCTGGCTGCGCCTCAATCTGCCTTTTTTTGTTTTTGAAAAGTGTCTCAGTGTGTTTTACCCAGAATTCACTGCGGTCCTCTCAGATAGTCAGGCTCTTCACTGCTTCGTGCAGCGGTCTGGTTTAGACGTCTGACTATGGCTTAGAGTAGATATCCAAAGTCTCTGAACCAGCATCCTGTCAGAGTGGGCGGGGCTAACGCCAGCTGGGAGATGATGTGAACAAAAGGCCGAATTGTAGCGCCAGGCAGTTTGTTCTCAGAGCCGGGCGCCGTGACAAAGACCGACCGAAGCGTTCATCTGATCCCAGCTGGCTGGAGGTCACCTGACCGACTCGGGCAGCTGATTCTGTTTCCTGTTGGGAACGCGTTTCGCATGACCCGTCACAGACTCGACTGTTTGTCTTTACAGCTTCTGCCTTTATCAGTTTGAACGGGCAGCACGAGGAACGCCGCCTCATTTAATTCGCTCATTAAAACTCAAACAGAACTCCTCGTTGGCGTCACTCGTGGTCACGGCATCAAACGGCCTGTAAACTGGAGGTGTGGATGTGCAGCTGATCTCTGGAGGAGCAGGAAGTCGGGAGCTGCTGCTCGTTAACTTCACTTTAAACGCAGCTGAAGTTACAGAGCAGCTAATGAGCCGCTAGCTTCCCGCTCAGACGTTAGCTGCCGCTAACCGCCGGCAGGAAACGGGCTTCTATTAACTGACCGTCACTGTACATTTACTGCAGCCTGACCGCTCGCTCTCCTGCCCTGAGAACAGCGGTCAGGTCCTCTGCACCATGAGAGGAAGCTGGCGGCGTGTCGCTGCACAGCGAGACGTAGACAGAAATGATGGGATGAAATTTTGGTAGCGGCGCCACTGCTGAATGAACCCGGAGGGAAGACGGGTTCTGCTGGTGCTGAACCCGTCTCAGGTGAACACGTGGTCCAGGTGAGACTCTGTGACGTCACCTATCTGATTTAGTTATCCAGAAAACCCAGAACCTGCGTTTGTAAGAAGCAGGACTAACTGACCGGTCTCTGTCCTTTTCCAGGTCCAACAAGAACCAGTCCTGCAGGCCAGAAGTGGACCAGGACCTGTGTGATCTGGCTCTGCCGCCCTTCAGCTCGGGGTCAAAGGTAAGATCCACTAAACAGAGTCCAGGTGTGTGTGGACTGGTTTACCTGCCAGGAAGTGATTAAACGAAAGGCCGACTGTAGCCCCCCCAGCAGTCTGTTCACAGAGGGGGGGGCGTGACAAAACCGGACTGAAGCGTATTCTGATCCTGGCTCTGAGGGTTTATAGAGGACCGGCTGATCAGGGTCTACCTGTTGCTTCACTCTGCTCTCTGATTGGCTCTGACAGGACGACCGGCTGGAGATGAAGCTGATGTCGCCGCTGAGGTCAGGGCTCCAACGCGGCGGTGAGTGAACATCTGAACCAGCATCCTGTCAGAGTGGGCGGGGCTAAAGTCAGCTGGGAGATGATGTGAACAAAAGGCCGAATTGTAGCGCCCGGCCAGGCAGTTTGTTCTCAGAGCCGGGCGCCGTGACAAAGACCGACCGAAGCGTTCATCTGATCCCAGCTGGCTGGAGGTCACCTGAGCAGGCGGTCAGACCGCGGTGACCTGATCTGGATCTTTGTGGCTTCTGGTTTGCAGTGGGCGGAGTGTGAACTGGTGACGCTGACGTGTCTCCTCCTTTCACAGGCGCTGGAGGACGAGCCCTCGCCGTCGGGCTCTGGTGACGAGCGGTTTCACGCCGGACGGGCCGGAACCTGCAGCTGGACGCGAGCTGAACTGTTGTGCAGAGGAAAGTTTGTGTATCTGAATTTTCCTGTAAATCAGTCGCTCATGTTGCTTTTCAATAAAGACGTAAACTGGACCTGATGTTTGTTCTGTTAAGCGTGAGAGGAACCTTCAGTTTCACAGGGTCTGCCAGGCTGCAGCAAGACCACCTGCTGCTCGGAGGACCAGATCAGGGCTCCTGGAGTCCTGAACAGCAGAACTTTAAGTGATGGATATAAATCAACAGTCTGATCAGTGACGTGCTTTACAGACTGTTGTGTCCTCAGCTGGGGGTCCTGGGTGGTGATGCTGTCCAGGAAGGGAAGTGTAGTCCACTACAGTCTCCACGGTCTGCCCCAGGTGGTCCGGGTTCCATGTTGACTGAGCCCAAACCACAACAGGCTCTCTGGTTCTGTTTCAGATCTTTATAAATAAACTCAGTTGCACATGATTTAAAAAAAGAGGCCAGAAAACGCTGCAGCTACAACACCATGAACAGACTAGAATAAAGAGTGCTGAGACCTTAGTCCTGGATCTGTAGGGCAGCGGCCCCCCTTCACTGTAACGGGACGGCGCTGCTGCTCTTCGGTAGGTGGCGCTGGTGCAGCTGTGACCAACATTAAAACACAGAAGAAGAAAGCGCGGCTGCAGCAGCCGCAGAAGAAGAAGCTGTTCGCTCCTCGGGACCAGCGGTCCGGTTTATTAACGGACACACGTTGATCCAGCAGCGGAACCGGCGGGATGGACACCGACACGGCTTCACCGGTAAACGCAGCGCGCGCCCGCCGTTCCTCCTCCGCCCGGAGAGCTCCACACCGGGGCCGTTAGCGGCGCTAAGCTAACGCAGCTAACCCGCAGCCCGCCGCCGAACTCCATTTAGAAACCGGCACAGAAAAGATCCTCCCGCTGCTCCGGGTCCACACGTCCCCCCCGCCGGACCCGAACATGACTGAAGGTGTTTTTACCGCCTCCGGTTCGTTCGGCACCAACAGAACCCTGATCCAGTTGGATCTGTTGGTGCCTGCCGGACCGTGAGGACTGAAGCAGGGCTCGGTTTGAACGAGCCGGACCAAAGAACTGGTTTTAGTCACGGGGCTGGAAGGTTAATCTGCCGCGTGTCTCTGGACAGACTGTAAAGTGACCGGATTCTGAATGGAGTTCGGTTGGGGTTGTGTCCCTGCTGAGGGCTGGTGTGGAGGCCTGCGGTCCTGGTTCCTGACACTCGCACTCAGATCCCTTACTTCAGTCATAGTACTAATACTTCACCAGTACTCTGTAAAATGTTGTTACGGTTTCTGCCTCCTGGTCATTAAAGTGCAGCAGGATGCAGCTGCGGCTCATTCTGACCTGTTCAGACTGCAGCTGCTGACTCTGGATCAGTTATTAAGCTTCTGTTTGAGATGATTTCAACACGTTGAAACGATCTAGTTTTATTTAAAAGTTCAATCAGGAAAAATCCCAGCGGCTCCACTCTGGTCGGGCTCAGGGAGAAACTTTCTTTATCAGGTTGATCTGAACTCTTAAGCTGATGATACGCGGAGCAACTTTTAGAGCAATCGTGCAGAGCAGCGTTGCTGTCAATGGTAATGAGTAAAGATTACTACCGTAATCCTCTTCCACGCCACTCCGCCACCCGCACCGCCGTTACCCGTTCAAAACATAGTCGGACTTTCCACCAGCAACTTTAGGAGGCAAAATAACCAGATAGATTGGCAGACGTGTGGATCAGCAGCTGATCACCTGATGATTAAACAAACACGGACGTGTGGCGTTATTCTGCAGCCCAGTCTGACCCCCTGCGCTGGTTTCACTGGTTTCACTGGTTTCACTGGTGCGTCTCCAGCAGCTTCAGCACTTTATTCTGATGGAAACCTGCAGCAGCACTAACACTAAACAGACTGCTGCACGCCAACGCTGTAGCCCGACTACACGTCACAGAGACGCGGGCTGCCTGCGCTGTGATTGGTCCGTAGCCAACAGTAAATGCACCGTTTTACTTTTATTCACCTTCTTCCACCAGTGAGTTTTGGAGAAACGCACACTGATAGAGAAAACCGTCCTGTGAAATGTTCGGTGTGACCAAGAAAACATTTAGTGGCCCAAACCCCAACGTGGCGTCCTCAAACCCCAACGTGGCGTCCTCAAACCCCAACGTGGCGTCCTCAAACGCCAACGTGGCGTCCTCAAACGCCAACGTGGCGTCCTCAAACCCCAACGTGGCGTCCTCAAACGCCAACGTGGCGTCCTCAAACCCCAACGTGGCGTCCTCAAACCCCAACGTGGCGTCCTCAAACGCCAACGTGGCGTCCTCAAACGCCAACGTGGCGTTCTCAAACGCCAAGATTTTCAGGTCACCGTCACAGACGAGCAAAGAAACCAGGAAATCCTCAGATTTCCGAAGCGGGAATCCTGATCGATGACTTTAATATTCTGCCGCTGATGGATGATTCGCCGCAGCGTTATATTAGCGATGAGCTCTTTGGAGTTCAGCGGACGACCCGTCTGACCGTCTGCTTGTTTTTCAGGACGCAGCTGAAGACGTCCGGATCAAACTGGAGCCGGACGGCGACGTGGAGATCCAGTCGTATCCGGTCCTCAAGAAGCTGTCCGTCAAACTGACCGACTGCAGGGCGTTGCTGGAGGGGCGGGACTTCCTGTCTCTTGGTGAGAGATCTTATATTTGCGACCTTTTGATTTAGAGAACTCTGGGGTTTCTGACCTCTGACCTCTGACCCCCCTACAGACGAGCACCCTCAGCTCTGCCACCAGAGGCAGATCCACGCGACCAACACCGGCAGAAAGATGGTGTACTGCTCCGAGTGTCAGAGAGGGTTCTACAAGAGGTCTCACCTGGAGGCTCACCGGAGAACCCACCGGGGACAGGAACCCAACCAGTGCTGGCAGTGCGGGAAGACCTACCCGACCCTGATGAGCCTCGTGGTGCACCAGCAGATCCACGACCGCAAGGAGCCCTACCGGTGCTCCTACTGCGAGAAGACCTTCGCCCTGAAGCGGGACTGGAAAACCCACCACCGGACGCACTCGGGGACCAAACCCTTCAAGTGCTGGTTCTGCGGGGACGGCTTCAGCGAGCAGGACGAGCTCACCGAGCACCTGGAGGTGCACGAGGGGGAGAAGTGCTACCACTGCAAAGTCTGCGACAAGATGTTCGTCTCCTACCAGGGCTTCAACTTCCACCGCAAGTCCCACAAGAGCCAGAAGCTGCTGCCCTGCCTGAAGTGCAAGAAGACCTTCAGCAACCCCCAGAGTCTGAAGCTGCACCAGGTGACCCACTCCAACAGGAAGCCCCACAAGTGCCCCACCTGCGGCAAAGGCTTCAAGCTGCTGAGCGGCCTGCGGTGCCACCAGAGGACCCACGAGGACCTGAGGGACTACCACTGCACCGAGTGCGGCAAGTGCTTCTCCAGCCTGCAGGGCCTGAAGCTGCACAACCGCACCCACACGGGCCTGAAGCCCTACAAGTGCACCGAGTGCGGCAAGAGGTTCACCCAGTCGCCCCACCTCAAGTCTCACATGGTCACCCACACCGGGGAGCGGCCCTTCCTGTGCACCACCTGCGGGAAGAGGTTCACCCAGTCGTCCCACCTGAGGTCCCACATCACGCTGTTCCACGTGGGCGAGAAGCCGTTCACCTGCGACGACTGCGGGAAGAGCTTCACCATCGCCCACTACCTGAAGATGCACCGGCTGAGCCACACCAAGGAGAAGCTGTACCAGTGCTCCTACTGCGAGAAGTCCTTCTCCTACCACAACTCCTGGAGGGCCCACGAGAGGATCCACACCGGCGAGCGCCCCTTCAGCTGCCGGGAGTGCGGCCAGAGCTTCATCACGTCGGGCTCGCTGCTGAGCCACCAGAGGTCCAAACACACCGGCGAGAAGAGCCACTACTGCATCACCTGCGGGGAGTTCTTCTTCACCAGCTCGCTGCTGCGGGTCCACCAGCTCGACCACACGGGCGAGCGGCCGCACGCCTGCAGCTGCGGCAAGACCTTCAAGACCAAAGGAGTGCTGCGCTACCACCTGAAGAGGTTCACCGACCACCAGCCGGCCGAGTGAGCGGGGCCACGGCGGGGTCGGCCCGAGAGGCGAAGCGCAGACGCTGCAGGGTGCATGCAGGAGGGTAGTTACTGTCGGGCGTCCGCAGGGGGCGCTGAACACGTGTTGAATCTTCATCAGGCCCTCTGAGGGTCCAGAACTAAGTCAGAACCCAGAGAGACGCTGCAGAACGTCCCTGCAGAGTCTCAGTGAGAGCTGACTGCTAACAGCTGCAGCTCGTGCTGCTGGGGGCCACAGTCGTGCTGCTGGGGGCCACAGTCGTGCTGCTGGGGGCCACAGTCGTGCTGCTGGGGGCCACAGTGTCAGAAAGGTTTGGTGCTCAGCTAACGATGACATGAGTTTTCTGTCGGTTTCGGGTTTTTGAAGCTGCTTTACAGAAACTTTGTTTTGTGATCACTTCTTCATGGTTTTGTTGTTGTTCTGTTATAGAAATGATTTAAACTCCTCCTCCTGCTCCTCCTCCTGCTCCTCCTCCTGCTCCTCTCCGCTCTGCTTTTATGTAAAAGAGAACAAACACTAAGAAGTTCTGAAGCTGCAGGCAGAAACACCACAGAAGAAGAAGAGCGCCGGGAGGTTTAAAGTCGGTGTTAAAACAAACACGTGAAGCACTTCAGGTTTGGTGGCGTTACGGTCCAGCGGCTCACCTCTGACCTCAGAGCGCCACGTGTCATAGATCTGGAACGTATTGACCTGATTGGCCGGCAGGTGTTACAAAGAGCGTGACGACTGAATCAGCAGGACGTCTGTAGCTTTTTGACCACGAAGGACTCGTTATCGTCCTGACGATCAAAGAGGCAGCGACAGGAAGTCTCTAACACTGACGCTGCGTTCACTCTGCGCGCCTGAATGACCGTCACAGCCTGAAAGTGATGTCACGCGCAGCACGCTGTCACAAACGTGTAGCCGCAGAGGTTCGCCCCCGTTAGCTCCTACCCGCTAACCCTCCTGGGTCACATGTCTCCGGATTTATGACAAACGCTCGCAACTTTCTGTCCGTCTCATTTCTGGTTCTGTACAGCGAGTATCGGCCCACAACTCTCTTTCCACCTGACAGGTAGCGTGCACGCCACGCGGAGCACTAACCAATCAGAGGCAAGGTTGTTGAACACAAAATAAGACTATCTGGCGTCCAGACTGAGGTCGTGTTTTGAATAAGAGGTCCGGATCAGATCCAGGTCGGGTTGATCGGAGTTCACGGAGCGGCGGTGAGCGACGACGCCAGGATGTCTTTCTGCTCGTCCTCGCCGTCACCTGCTCCCAGATTCTTTCCTCCACCTGAAATCCCCCGCCGGGTGCGTGTTTACCTCCGTACGACAGCGTGCTGCGTGTGACGCTTCGGTCTGATCTGCGCCACATTTAAACTAAGATGCGACCTGTCGGCGGACGCAGCTGTAAGGACCCGTTGGACCTGCGAGCGACCCGGTCCGCTCTGGTCTCACGTCGACATTCTTTGTGATGGTTTTTGGTTCCAGGAGCTCTGCAGTGAAATCAAACCTGTGAACTCATGGTCACGTTGTGTTTATCAATAAAAACACTGTACAGAACAAAGTGTCCTCAGTCTGTCCATCATCTGGAGGATAAACGGCCATTTTAACGTCTTATTTACAAAGACGACAAGGAGAAAACTAATAAAACACACGGTGTATAGACTTTGGTTTCACAGACCTTTAGTGTCTTTGGGGAAGTCTGGAAGAAAATCCACGTTCGTATGAAGAGTATAAAGTAAAGTCAAAGTATTTCTGGGCGGGAGGATAGAAACCAAAGTAAGGAACGGGGCCACGCCGACGACCTGAGGCCTGTTTCACAAAAGCAGAATTTAGAAATCCAGGATAAGAGATAAAGCCAGGCTGGACCTGCTGTGATCAGAGCGTCCTGGCTTCATAAAGGCCAAACCAGCTGAGGAGGGGGAAGTAATTCAGATCAGAGACCACGCGGTCGATCACAGATTCACTGATGCTGAGAGCCATGAACGTCGTGTGCGGCGTACTTTATTGGCCGTTACTCACCGTGTGTAAAGAAGGTTTATGATGAAAAAATGCACATAATATTAAGAATAAGTAAAGAAAGAAACACGTGACATTATTAAAACAGAGAGACGACTTGATGAGTAAGTAGCTCATAATTATAACGTTACCATGAAGGGAGCAGTGGACCTTAATGTGTCACTCAGCAAATAATTACAACCACTGATCAACATCTGCTGTCTATTCAATTAAATTGTATTTATAGAGCGGCAGTATATAAAGTGTTTCTTTTCCTCATGGTATTGTGTGTATATATGTGTACATATACAGATAGAAAAAGTAACTGTTGGAAACATGAGTGGGGAGTCGGACTGTCAGATGGTTTTGAACATTAAACACTTAATTTTCTGATTTCTGGAGAAATATTCTGCATCAGTTTGTGGTGGAAATGTCTTTATTCATATAAAAAGAAAACACAAAATTCAGCTGGCAGGTGATAATTCAAAATATAATAATATAATGCAGGAACCAGCAACAATGAAAATACTGTATGATGTTTTTAACTTGAGGCTGCAGTCCTGCAGTCTGACAGCCAGTCTATCAGGTCAACACTTCCTGCTGTGCTAATGAATGTCTTTTACAAACTGATGTCTGAACTGCACACACTTGAACAAATTAACTAAATAAAAACAGGAGTAGATGTGGATTTAAAAAGAAGCACTGAGGAAAGAGAGGCGATCACTGCAAAGCACACGTGACTGTAGCACGATGTATTAATCATTGTTTTCTCTCCCAGCAGATGATCCCAGGGAGGAAAAACATCCCCTCCCTGTTGTTTCACGAAGACTCGGCACATTATAGCCTCCGTACTGAAGTGGGCCTGGAATTTGGGAGTTTTATACAATTATGAAAGCTAATGAAAATGATTTATAGCTCCTGTAAAGTGCGCGTGTGCCTACATTTCATTTTTCAGGCACGATCTAACATCACAGTTCTGTCACTTAAGAGCTGTGATATTTTTAGCCTCTCACACTTTCTTATTACTGTGCCCGAGTTACTTTTCCTTTTCTTTATCATTTTCCTTTACATGTGCGCGCGTCTCCTCCAAAGATGAAACCTTAGTAAGAAGCACAAACTGCAGTTTTAATGCAGGCTGATGGAAAACATGTGAAACACGCAGGAGAACAGGGAGTGACTGGGAAAAACCCACTCAGGATATCTGGGATATCCAGACTTAATCCGCTATCTTGGTTTTGTGAAACATTTATCTAAAGCGTCTAAATAAACGTTTTTACTTCCGCTGCTTTTATTGTGAAGGTCAGGAGTCACACCTCGTGACTTCCGCTCGTGATGTAAACAGTGAAGATGGCGGCCTGCTGTGTGCGTCGCGCTGTCCTCAGGTTCAGGTGTCCAGGAGGAAACGTGAGACAGATCTCAGCTGGAAGGTCAGTTTGTGTCAGACTCACCTGGACGGCAGGTGAGTCCCGCGTGCAGGTCCGGGTTCCGCCCGAACCGGGCACTGGGTCACAGACCGGTACAGGTCCAGAGACGACCTGCAGATCTGTCAGTAATCATTCCAGTTTTATTTTATCTTCTCTCTAGATAGATACGGTGCTGAAACTGAATTAAATTAAACAAAAACCCCTTTAATAATAATAATAATAATAATAATAATAATAATAATAATATGAACTAAAGACGTAGTTGAGGCGCTTGTTGCGGTCAAACTGCGACACCTGCTGGCAGCTGTTGGTATTACAGGCTCCATGTTGCGTTCACTGACCTGTTTCACGGCTCGTTGTCTTTTCTTTTTTTATTATAATTATGTCAAATCCAACCATCAGGCTGCAGAGCGGCGGCTGTGTGACTCCGGAGTCTGTGCAGGGGACGCGCTCGGCATGCTGGGTAAAAGTAAGCAGCTGTGAGTTCATTGGTACAACTTTCCAGAGCTCACAGAGTGGAGGAGGAGGAAGAGGAAGAGTGCTGTGGGCGGCAGTCGGTACGTAGAGTCACAAAAAACATGCAACACTTCTTTATCCCTCATTTGCATAATCTATTATTTTACAACTTTAATGCTTTTACACCAAACTCCAGTCAGAAATCTGCAGATTTAAGACTTCCTTATTTTTTATCTGTGTGTGTGTGTGTGTGTGTGTGTGTGTGCGTGCACGCCATCAGCTTTTTCCCTGTTCGGCAGTACTGATGAAGACCAACGAGATGAAGCCCAGCAGAAAGAGGATGAAATGATCCTGCTGCTGAAGAAGGCCAAGGTACTAAGACCAGTAACTGTAGAGGCACCAGCATTAGTACTGTAGTAGTATTAGTAGTATTAGTAGTAGTACTGCAGTAGTAACGTGTCCCTGTCCTCTCCCAGCTCAGTATATATCGGGGGCAGCTGCAGGCCGCCTCTGGTTTCCTCCATCAGGCCGTGGTTCTGGCTCATCAGACCCACAACAACCAGGCCATCATCTACACCTACAGTCTGGTAAACGCCTGCTCACGGTGACCTCTGACCTCTGCAGCTGTTCACAGGTGCTGCTGTGTGACCTTTGACCCCTTTGTTTCCTCAGATGGCGAATCTGGCCTACGTTCAGGGTCAGCTGGAGCACGTGAGTCCCGTCCAATCACGGCTCATCTTATTAATATTTAGCATCACAGAGTTCGGTCTAGACCTGCTCTTTATGAAAAGCGCTGTGAGATAACTGTTGTTGTGATTTGGTGTTATATAAATAAAACTGAAATTAATGTCAACGTGTGGTTAACGTGTTCTTCATCGTCTCTTCGTCTTCCTCCTCTCAGGCAGAGAAACTCTTCAAGGCGGCGATGAGCTTCATGCTGTCGGGAGGAACTCCACAGGTGTGTGTGTGTGTGTGTGTGTGTGTCTTCAGTCAGCTGTTTCAATCTTCGCTGACTTCCTGTCTGTTTCCAGGACGACAACGCTGTCATCGAGATGTCTCTGAAGCTCGCCACCATCTACGCCGAGCAGAGCAAGTAAGAACCAGACTCACCTGTTCAGCTCTCTGACCTCTGACCTCTGACCTCTGAGCTGCCAGAGGAGTGACTGTGTGTGTGTGTGTGTGTGTGTGTTGAGGGCGGAGCTTGCAGAGCACGGGTTCAGGTTCTGTACGGAGTCCCTGGAGGCCAAACTGGAGAAACAGAAGGAGGTCCCTGCAGAGGAGCGGACAGGTGAGCCGAGGCATCAGGTGCAGTGATGCTCAGGTGTTTCTCTGATATGAGACCTGAAACCTGATCCTCTGCTGCAGGTCAGAGCGTCTAAGACTGACATGTTGTTGTTGTCGTTGTTGTCTTAGAGGAGCAGGAAGATCTGAGGAAGGAGACCCGCCTCCTGCTCGGTCTGTGTTTGGACTCGCGGGCTCGATACCGAGCTTCAACGTTGCACCTGAAGCAGGCCGGACAGGACTACCAGAACGCCCTGAACATCTGCCGCCAGGAGCAGGGAGAGACACACCCCCAGGTAGAGACACCCCCCCAGGGAGAGACACACCCCCAGGTAGAGACACCCCCCCAGGGAGAGACACCCCCCCAGGGAGACACCCCGCCAGGTAGAGACACACCCCCAGGGGGAGAGACACCCCCCCAGGGGGAGAGACACCCCCCCAGGGAGACACCCCCCAGGGAGAGACACCCCCCCAGGGAGAGACACCCCCCAGGGAGACACCCCCCAGGGAGACACCCCCCCCCCAGGTAGAGACACCCCCCCAGGGAGAGAGACACCCCCCCCCCAGGTAGAGACACACACCCCCAGGTAGAGACACACACCCAGGGAGAGACACACCCCCAGGGAGAGACACACACCCCCAGGGAGACACACACCCCCAGGTAGAGACACCCCCCGCCAGGGAGAGAGACACCCCCCCAGGTAGAGACACACCCCCAGGTAGACACACGGGTGATCTAAAATGATGACCTCATCGTGTCTCCTGTCAGACTCTGGTGCTGATGAGCGACCTGGCCACCATCTTGGATCTGCAGGGTCGCCATGACGACGCCCTGGCGCTGGTCCAGCAGGCCGTGGATCTGAGCCGCTCCGCCGGACACCCGGACCAGCACGTGCTGCTGGGAAACATGGCCGGCATTCTGCTGCACAAAGGTTAGGAGAGGTCATGACTGGTCTCACCTGGTCTCACCAGGTCTCACCTAGTCTGACCTGGTTTGACCTGGTTTGATCTGGTCTCACCTGGTCTGATGTTCTCTGTGGTCCTTCAGGCCAGCTGGAGGACTCAGTGCGGCTCTACCAGGAGGCTCTGAGTCTGGCTCGGCAGGCCGGAGACCAGGAGGCTGTGGACCAGATCCAGGAGGGACTGAAGGAGGTGAAGAAGAGGAGGAGCGAGGAGAGGAAGGAGGAGAAGAAGTGATCGGTTCTCCTGAGAACTCATCGGCCTACAACAAACTGTATCTGACTCCTGGATCCGGGTGACCCCCGACCCCCATCAGGACAGAGACCCTGATATACCTATTGATTACCTTCACGCTGTGATGTTTGTGTTTGTGTGAAACAGTCTGAAATAAAACTCTTTGTCCTGTAGTGAAGACAGGAAGTGACCTCATTGATCATGAAGCAGTGGAACAGGTGAGATGTTCAGGTGAACAACAACCAACAACGTTTAGACAGGAAACAGGAAATCATCATCCATCTAAATTAGTTTGAACTACATTTTACAGCATCTCACAAAGTGAGTCCAACCTCACATCTCTGTAAACATGTGATTCTATCTTTTCATGTGAAACACTGAAGAAATGACACTTTCCTACAGTGTAAAGTAGTGAGCGTGCAGCTTGTATAACAGTGTAAAGTAGTGAGCGTGCAGCTTGTATAACAGTGTAAAGTAGTGAGCGTGCAGCTTGTATAACAGTGTAAAGTAGTGAGCGTGCAGCTTGTACAGTGTAAAGTAGTGAGCGTACAGCTTGTACAGTGTAAAGTAGTGAGCGTACAGCTTGTATAACAGCGTAAATAACAGCGTAAAGTAGTGAGCGTGCAGCTTGTATAACAGTGTAAAGTAGTGAGCGTGCAGCTTGTATAACAGTGTAAAGCAGTGCAGCTTGTAGAACAGCGTAAAGTAGTGAGCGTACAGCTTGTATAACAGTGTAAAGTAGTGAGCGTACAGCTTGTATAACAGTGTAAAGTAGTGAGCGTGCAGCTTGTAGAACAGCGTAAAGTAGTGAGCGTGCAGCTTGTATAACAGTGTAAAGTAGTGAGCGTGCAGCTTGTATAACAGTGTAAAGCAGTGCAGCTTGTATAACAGTGTAAAGTAGTGAGCGTGCAGCTTGTATAACAGTGTAAAGCAGTGCAGCTTGTGTAACAGTGTAAAGTAGTGAGCGTGCAGCTTGTATAACAGTGTAAAGCAGTGCAGCTTGTAGAACAGCGTAAAGTAGTGAGCGTACAGCTTGTATAACAGTGTAAAGTAGTGAGCGTGCAGCTTGTATAACAGTGTAAAGTAGTGAGCGTACAGCTTGTATAACAGTGTAAAGTAGTGAGCGTGCAGCTTTTATAACAGTGTAAAGCAGTGCAGCTTGTAGAACAGCGTAAAGTAGTGAGCGTGCAGCTTGTATAACAGTGTAAAGTAGTGAGCGTGCAGCTTGTAGAACAGCGTAAAGTAGTGAGCGTGCAGCTTGTATAACAGTGTAAAGTAGTGAGCGTGCAGCTTGTATAACAGTGTAAAGCAGTGCAGCTTGTAGAACAGCGTAAAGTAGTGAGCGTGCAGCTTGTATAACAGTGTAAAGTAGTGAGCGTGCAGCTTGTAGAACAGCGTAAAGTAGTGAGCGTACAGCTTGTATAACAGTGTAAAGTAGAGAGCGTGCAGCTTGTATAACAGTGTAAAGTAGTGAGCGTGCAGCTTGTATAACAGTGTAAAGTAGTGCAGCTTGTAGAACAGCGTAAAGTAGTGAGCGTACAGCTTGTATAACAGTGTAAAGTAGTGAGCGTGCAGCTTGTATAACAGGGTAAAGTAGTGAGCGTGCAGCTTGTATAACAGTGTAAAGTAGTGCAGCTTGTAGAACAGCGTAAAGTAGTGAGCGTGCAGCTTGTAGAACAGCGTAAAGTAGTTAGCGTACAGCTTGTATAACAGCGTAAAGTAGCGAGCGTGCAGCTTGTATAACAGGGTAAAGTAGTGAGCGTGCAGCTTGTATAACAGTGTAAAGCAGTGCAGCTTGTAGAACAGCGTAAAGTAGTGAGCGTGCAGCTTGTAGAACAGCGTAAAGTAGTGAGCGTGCAGCTTGTATAACAGTGTAAAGTAGTGAGCGTGCAGCTTGTATAACAGTGTAAAGCAGTGCAGCTTGTAGAACAGCGTAAAGTAGTGAGCGTGCAGCTTGTAGAACAGCGTAAAGTAGTGAGCGTGCAGCTTGTAGAACAGCGTAAAGTAGTGAGCGTGCAGCTTGTATAACAGTGTAAAGTAGTGAGCGTGCAGCTTGTATAACAGTGTAAAGCAGTGCAGCTTGTATAACAGTGTAAAGTAGTGAGCGTGCAGCTTGTATAACAGTGTAAAGCAGTGCAGCTTGTGTAACAGTGTAAAGTAGTGAGCGTGCAGCTTGTATAACAGTGTAAAGTAGTTAGCGTACAGCTTGTATAACAGCGTAAAGTAGCGAGCGTGCAGCTTGTATAACAGGGTAAAGTAGTGAGCGTGCAGCTTGTATAACAGTGTAAAGCAGTGCAGCTTGTAGAACAGCGTAAAGTAGTGAGCGTGCAGCTTGTAGAACAGCGTAAAGTAGTGAGCGTGCAGCTTGTATAACAGTGTAAAGTAGTGAGCGTGCAGCTTGTATAACAGTGTAAAGCAGTGCAGCTTGTAGAACAGCGTAAAGTAGTGAGCGTGCAGCTTGTAGAACAGCGTAAAGTAGTGAGCGTGCAGCTTGTAGAACAGCGTAAAGTAGTGAGCGTGCAGCTTGTATAACAGTGTAAAGTAGTGAGCGTGCAGCTTGTATAACAGTGTAAAGCAGTGCAGCTTGTATAACAGTGTAAAGTAGTGAGCGTGCAGCTTGTATAACAGTGTAAAGCAGTGCAGCTTGTGTAACAGTGTAAAGTAGTGAGCGTGCAGCTTGTATAACAGTGTAAAGTAGTGAGCGTGCAGCTTGTATAACAGTGTAAAGTAGTGAGCGTGCAGCTTGTATAACAGTGTAAAGTAGTGAGCGTACAGCTTGTAGAACAGTGTAAAGTAGTGAGCGTACAGCTTGTATAACAGTGTAAAGTAGTGAGCGTACAGCTTGTAGAACAGTGTAAAGTAGTGAGCGTGCAGCTTGTAGAACAGTTTAAATCTGCTGTCCCCTCAAAATAACACATCACACAGCCATTAATTATTTTAATCTAAACCGCTGGCAACAACAGTGAGGACACCCCTAAATGAAAATGTCCAAATTGAATAGTAGTACATCTATATAAATTGTGTACTCTACAGTAGTACATCTATATAACCTGTGTACTGTACAGTAGTACATCTACATAACCTGTGTACTGTACAGTAGTACATCTACATAACCTGTGTACTGTAAAGTAGTAGTATAACCTGTGTACTGTACAGTAGTAGTATAGTATAATCCATGTACTGTATAGTAGTAGTATAGTATAATCTGTGTACTGTAAAATAGTAGTATAACCTGTGTACTGTACAGTAGTAGTATAGTATAACCCGTGTACTGTACAGTAGTAGCATAGTATAACCTGTGTACTGTAAAGTAGTAGTATAACCTGTGTACTGTACAGTAGTAGTATAGTATAACCCGTGTACTGTACAGTAGTAGTATAGTTTAACCCGTGTACTGTACAGTAGTAGTATAGTATAACCCATAGTAGTATAGTATAACCTGTGTACTGTACAGTAGTAGTATAGTATAATCTGTGTACTGTAAAATAGTAGTATAACCTGTGTACTGTACAGTAGTAGTATAGTATAACCTGTGTACTGTAAAGTAGTAGTATAACCTGTGTACTGTACAGTAGTAGTATAGTATAACCCGTGTACTGTACAGTAGTAGTATAGTTTAACCTGTGTACTGTACAGTAGTAGCATAGTATAACCTGTGTACTGTAAAGTAGTAGTATAACCTGTGTACTGTACAGTAGTAGTATAGTATAACCCGTGTACTGTACAGTAGTAGTATAGTTTAACCCGTGTACTGTACAGTAGTAGTATAGTATAACCCATAGTAGTATAGTATAACCTGTGTACTGTACAGTAGTAGTATAGTATAATCTGTGTACTGTAAAATAGTAGTATAACCTGTGTACTGTACAGTAGTAGTATAGTATAACCCGTGTACTGTACAGTAGTAGTATAGTATAATCTGTGTACTGTAAAATAGTAGTATAACCCGTGTACTGTACAGTAGTAGTATAGTATAATCTGTGTACTGTAAAATAGTAGTATAACCTGTGTACTGTACAGTAGTAGTATAGTATAACCCGTGTACTGTACAGTAGTAGTATAGTATAACCTGTGTACTGTACAGTAGTAGTATAGTATAATCTGTGTACTGTAAAATAGTAGTATAACCTGTGTACTGTACAGTAGTAGTATAGTATAACCCGTGTACTGTACAGTAGTAGTATAGTATAATCTGTGTACTGTAAATAGTAGTATAACCTGTGTACTGTACAGTAGTTGTATAGTATAACCCGTGTACTGTACAGTAGTAGTATAGTATAATCTGTGTACTGTAAAATAGTAGTATAACCTGTGTACTGTACAGTAGTAGTATAGTATAACCCGTGTACTGTACAGTAGTAGTATAGTATAACCTGTGTACTGTACAGTAGTAGTATAGTATAATCTGTGTACTGTAAAATAGTAGTATAACCTGTGTACTGTACAGTAGTAGTATAGTATAACCTGTGTACTGTACAGTAGTAGTATAGTATAATCTGTGTACTGTAAAATAGTAGTTTAACCCGTGTACTGTACAGTAGTAGTATAGTATAACCCATGTACTGTACAGTAGTAGTATAGTATAATCTGTGTACTGTAAAGTAGTACTATAACCCGTGTACTGTAAAGTAGTAGTATAACCTGTGTACTGTACAGTAGTAGTATAGTATAACCTGTGTACTGTACAGTAGTAGTATAGTATAATCTGTGTACTGTAAAATAGTAGTATAACCTGTGTACTGTACAGTAGTAGTATAGTATAACCCGTGTACTGTACAGTAGTAGTATAGTATAATCTGTGTACTGTAAAATAGTAGTATAACCTGTGTACTGTACAGTAGTAGTATAGTATAACCCGTGTACTGTACAGTAGTAGTATAGTATAACCTGTGTACTGTACAGTAGTAGTATAGTATAATCTGTGTACTGTAAAATAGTAGTTTAACCCATGTACTGTACAGTAGTAGTATAGTATAATCTGTGTACTGTAAAATAGTAGTTTAACCCGTGTACTGTACAGTAGTAGTATAGTATAACCCGTGTACTGTACAGTAGTAGTATAGTATAACCTGTGTACTGTACAGTAGTAGTATAGTATAATCTGTGTACTGTAAAATAGTAGTATAACCTGTGTACTGTACAGTAGTAGTATAGTATAACCCGTGTACTGTACAGTAG